GACCTTGCAACCCAGATTGAGGCCTGGAGGAGCCGCCAAGATCGAGCATGCGGTGCCATTCGAAGTCGTCTCGGTTATAACGCCCGAGTGTTTACCACGGGGATCCCGACGGCTCAGGGCATGATCAATCACCTTGAGACCCGATATCGGCCCGTCGGAAGCGCCATCTTCCAAGAGCTCGACCGCAGATATCAAGAACTCACGCTTGAATCTTGCGATTCGGTCATGGAATACGCAAATAAGCTACGTCAAGTCAGGGCTGAACTCTTGGAGATGGATGACACCTGCCAGATCGGGGAACCGCATTTTGTCAATAAGTTCCTTTGTGGACTTGGTCCGGACTATGAAGTGTTTCTCACTGCCTTCAATCAGAATCACAACATCCTTCCTATCCGAGATCCGAGCAATCGCAACGTTGTTCTCAAAGAGGCCGTTACGTTTGAAACCGCCATCTTTGCCGCATCTCAGGAGGAGGACAGACAAAGAAGCGTCACGGCCAAGATGGCACATAGAGCCATGATGGCCCAGGATACATCATGTTGTGGATACTGTGGAAGAAAAGGGCGTGACAGGTCCACTTGTTGGAGGCTCCACCCAGAACTTAGAAGAGATCGTATCAAAGCTGGTCACGAGAGACGACAACGTAAAATGCAGGTTCGGGAGAAGGAAAGGGAGAAGACGAATGATGAACTGGAATCTGCCACGTATACAACTCCTGCACACCTCCAACCTGACCAAGCTCGACTGGCACTCTGGCAAAATGACTTCCAAGGCCACCTTGGATTGATTGGCTCATCACTCGGACCTTCCGGTCTTCAAGCATCTCTTCAAACTCGGGCCCTCGAACGTATCCACGTCTTGGATAGTGGCGCCTCCTCGCATATCTTTTGTCGACAGGAGAACTTTACATCACTTCACAGGTACCACGGTCTCCCCATCAATGGTATTGCGGACGTAAAGGTCATGCCAGGAGGGTGCGGAACGTACTGCCTCCGCGTTCAAGGGCCTAAGGGATCACAGAATGTTACTCTCGATAACGCTCTTTATGTTCCAGAAGGACATTCGAACCTCTTGTCTGTGTCAGCACTAGAGAAGAAGGGAGCAGAAGTTGTCTTTCGGAATGGGAAGGCAGTGGTTACAAACAAGGGAAAAGTCGTCCTCACTGCGACAAGAATATCAGGCGTATATGTGGTCGATGAAGTTGAGGACCGTCCTTTTCAAACCGCTTTGGCATCTTTTTCGGTGGGAGATCCTCGACTGCACCTTTGGCACGAGCGACTCGCACATTTGGGAGAGAGGAATATCAAGAGACTGATGAATATGTCTACTGGAATTCGACCGGATGATTCTACATCAAACCCATGTGGAGCCTGCGTACAGGGCAAACTCAGGGAATGTCCCCATGTCCGACCGATCAAGAAAGGCACTTACCCTCTGGAGTGTATTCATGCAGATATTGCCGGACCATTCCCAGAAGTGGGAGTAGACGGCAGCCGGTACTGGGTTTGCTTTATTGATGACTTTACTCAAATGTCCTGGGTGTACCCAGTCAAAGAACGGTCAGAGTTTGAAGAGTGTTTCCATCATCTGTTGCAACAGTTCGAGAGACCGGAAAGACGATGTCACTTCCTGCACCTCGACCGAGGGGGAGAGAATCGAAGCCACAGCTTGACTCGACTATGCCGGGACAGAGGAATCAAACTCTCTTACACAGGAACTGAGCAACACGAACAAAATGGATTGGCTGAAGTTCTCAATCGAATCATCCTGGAAAAACTTACACCGACACTGCTCAAATCCGGACTCGCTTTGAAGTGGTGGCCGTACTTCCTCAAGGCAGTGAACCGCATCCGAAATCTCTGTCCTACGGCGAGCATTTCTACTACTCCATACCAAGCCTGGTATGGAGATGTTCCTGACCTCAGCCATTTGCGAGTTCTTGGCTCACGAGGATGGGCTCTGCTTCCATCCTCTAAACGAAAGAAGATGCAGTCGAAGAGCATTCCCTGCCAGCTTCTCGGCTATCAGGGCAGCACGAACTATATACTCCTTGACAAAAGGGGACGAGTCTTTGTGTCTAACAATGTTGTCTTCTCTGAAAACGTCAAAAATGTCGAACCAACATTCGACAATCTCACGCATCAGATAAGTGACCAGAGACCATCGCAACGACGACGAGTAGTCGGAGAAGAGGATAGCGATGCGGAAAATGCCATCGTTCTAGAGCCGTCGCCCCTTCCGATCGCGTCGAGAGAGGCGAACAGAAGCGGGGAAACGGGCCGTGGAGAGACAACGCCAGATGAGCCTCTATTAGAAGACACAGGATGGGATCCAGACCAAGAGTCAACCAGATCGAGTATCCATGTTGCCACAGACGAGCGTGAAGTGCCGTCGGAAGAAACAGAGGAGCATGCAGAGTCTCGGCTGCCCGAAAGATCGACCAGGGGACAGCTGCCGTCGAGGTACATACTGGCCAGCACGAACTTCGCCTTCCTAGCAACAGTTGCAGAACAACTGTACCTAGTCGCTCGCGACATCGATCAGTCCGAACCAAGAACCTTTAGGGAAGCCACGCAGGGTGTACATGGAAAACTCTGGTGGGGAGGACTGAAGGATGAACACGGATCTCTGGTTGAAAACGGTGTCTGGACCTTAGTCACGCTTCCCCCAGGACGAAAGGCCCTTCGAGGCAAATGGGTGTTCAAGCTCAAAAGAGGAGAAAATGGGCAAGTTCTACGGTACAAGGCGCGATTTGTCGTGAGAGGATTCGAGCAGAGGGAAGGAATTGACTTCAACGAAACCTTCGCCTCTGTTGTCAAGCCGATGAGCTACAAGATGATATTCGCCATTGCGGCAGCGCTTGATTTGGAACTGGAACAGATGGATGTCAAGACGGCCTTCCTCTATGGCCTTGTAAATGAGGAGATATACGTCCAGCAACCGGAAGGATTCGACGATGGAAGTGGGAGAGTCTGCAAGCTCTTGAGAGCCTTGTATGGACTGAAGCAAGCACCAAGGGTGTGGTACGAGACTCTCTCAACCTTCCTTAAGACACTCGGGTTCAAGCCTTTACTTTCAGATATGGGAGTCTTTGTGAAAGGCTACATGTTCATTGCGGTATATGTGGACGATCTGCTTATTGCCGGGCCCTCCAAGGACGAGATCGTGGCGGTCAAGCAAGCTCTGTGCAACAAGTTCAAGATGACGGACCTGGGCCCATGCAAATACTACCTGGGCATGTCCGTAAGAAGAGACAGAGCCACCCGATCGCTCTTCTTGTCACAGACGACCTACCTTGAGAAAGTACTTAGAGACTTTGGAATGGACCAGTGCGCTCCCAATGCCACACCAGTTTCGACAAGCAAGTTCGGAGAACCAGACTCGGGCTACAAGGCAGCGGACGAACTCAAAGAGTGGTATGCCAAGGCGATCGGATCCCTGATGTATCTCATGCTGGGGACGAGACCCGACATCGCTTTTGCCGTCTCCTTATGCAGTCGACACCTAGCGAACCCAACCAACGAGCGTCAGACAGCTGTCAAGCGTATCTTTCGATACCTCAAGGGATCACAAAATCTGGAACTAGTGTACCAAGGAGGACTGCAACCTCTCCTCGGCTACACCGACTCGGATTGGGCGGGAGACCTGGAGACTCGAAGGTCAACGTCTGGATATATGTTCAACCTCGGTACGGGCGCTATCAGCTGGAGCTCGAAGAGACAAAGAACTGTGGCCCTGTCCTCATGCGAAGCAGAATACATGGGGCAAACCGCAGCCGCAAAAGAAGCAGTCTGGCTGCGAGGTCTGCTCCAAGAACTGTTGAAAGAATACAAGGAGGTCCCAGAACTAAAGACAACTATAATCTTCGGGGACAACCAAGGAGCAATCGCGATGTCGAAGAATCCCCAGTTCCATACAAGAACTAAGCACATTGATATTCAGCATCATTACTGCAGAGAGAAAGTCAATGATGGAACCGTTGAGTTCCAGTACATTCCAACAGGCAAACAAGTGGCCGACGGCCTAACAAAGGCTTTACCAAAGGATCGTTTCTTACTGTTTAGAAAAGCACTAGGTCTCAAAGAACGACGGCCATGAGAAGGTGCAGAGATGAACTAAAACAGGAGACCTGCCATGGACAAACAGGAGACCCACGGATCCAAGATTGCACGGAAACGTGAAAAAGGTGCAAAGGTGAGTTAGAGTGGGAGAGCTTCTAAGCAAGTAGAAGGAAAGCCACGATCTCAAGGTTGTGCCGAGCGTGAGGAACGTGCAAAGATGGACTGAAGTGGGAGACCTATCATGGACAGGAGACCTGCGATTTTAAGAAAGATTTCAAGACCTGCAGAGACGAGTGTAGGCAGGATACCTTCTGCGGATAGAAGACCTGCAACCCCAAGATCGCAAGACCTGCAGAGATGGGCATAGGCAGGAGATCTTCTGTGGACAGAAGAAGACCTGCAGTCCCAAGAAAGCTTGCGAAACCTGCAGAGATGGGCTTCAGTGGGAGATCTTCTGTGCATAGAAGAAGACCTACGATGCCAAAGAAAGATTGCAAGACCTGCAGAGACGGGCAGAGGCAGGAGATCTTCTGTGGATAGAAGAAGACCTGCAGTCCCAAGAAAGCTTGCAAGACCGTGCAAAGATGGGTGTCAGTAGGAGATCTTCTGTGGACAAGAAGAAGACCCGCAAGTTCAGGATCGCACTGGACTGAAAGGAAAGGTGCAAAGATGAACTTGGAGGGAGATCTTCTGCGGACAGAAGAAGACTCACTGCTCCAAGATTGCACGAGACCATTAAGAGATCCTGAGCGCCCATGTCGAGATAGCTCTTTCCCTGCAGTTTTCACCCACGAAGGTGTTTTTGGGGTTTTAACGAGGCTCGACAGGCGTGCACATCAAGCCCAACAGCAGCTCGAGTGGGAGCGTTGAGACAGTGTGGCTAAGGTGGTCCGACCTACTGGTGGCTGCGATGTGGATACTATGTAAGGAGCTGTGCTCCTCTCAGACACATGTAACTTAGAACTAACAACAACACAATCAACCGTTTTTGCTTCAACAGTGCAGAAGTGGAAATGCGGCGCATTTCTGGTCTACATTCTTGAGTAGGCGTTCTTCGCGCCTGGCCACGATGCTCATATCTGGTTGAACGGATAGTACCCAGATACCTTCACCATGGAGCACGAAGCTATCGAGGCGGCTGGTGACCTGACCAAGTTCTGGGCTGGTGCAAACTCTACACAGGTCCTCGAACTTATCCCAGCTGAGGACCCTTTCCAGCCTAAGGATCAGTGGAATACCACGGCCGACCTGTACCCTGACCGGGCTATCTCAGTCGTCATCCAGAATGCTTCGCATGCCCTGCTGCCGGAGAATCTGAACGGTGTGGTTGAGGCTGTGTTACCGTACCTGGCCGAGCAATATACACGTCTGTGATTACCTTGCATATTGAACGGGCCTTATGTCTCCTCAGAGGAGGAACAATAGGTTTACTAAAGTAAAGCCCCTAAAATATACCTAGCGAGTTTATTTAATCTAGCAAGCTTAATATTAATAGGCTTATTTATACCTCCTAAGTAAAATACTAAGCTTGCTAGGTTTTACTATTATACACTTAGCTAATATAATTACTTTAAATCTTACTTACTTAGTGTTAAGTCCTGCACTTTAATTAGTAAACAGAAAATAGTTATAAATCTATAAGCAGAAATAACGAGATTAAATTAAATGCTATATTAACTGAAATTATCCACTTAAACCCTATATAACGTGTATGATAAGCGAGTGGGCCAGACAAGCGAGTGGGCCAAAAATCCCTCACCTTCCATCTTCTCTACTTTATCAGTTAGTTCTCAACAATCAGATATGTCACAACCAAACTACGAGGCTAATCTTAATCTTGCACTTCAGGCCCTTCAAGATAATCCAAAACTAAGTATCCGACGCGCCGCAGAAATCTACACAGTCAATCGTAATACCTTACGCCGCCGCCAGCAAGGGGTTCAATCTCGACGCGATACTATGCCTAACTCACGGAAGCTATCTGAACTAGAAGAAGATACTCTTCTTGAGTTCATTATCGACCTAGATTCGCGAGGATATCCCCCGCGACTGCGTGGTGTTGAAGAAATGGCTAATCGACTGCTTGATGACCGCGACGCGCCACGCGTCGGCGCGCGCTGGGCTATGAATTTCGTCAAGCGACAACCACTACTCAGGATACGTTTTCAGCGGAGATATGACTATCAGAGGGCCAAATGTGAAGATCCGACTATTATTCGCAACTGGTTTAGGCTCGTACAGAACACGATCGCGAAGTATGGTATCCACTCAGATGATACCTGGAACTTTGATGAGACCGGCTTTATGATGGGCGTTTTCTCAACCAGTATGGTCATTACATGTATAGAGAGGCATGGACGGCCTAAAAAATTACAGCCTGGAAACCGAGAATGGGTTACAGTGATCCAAGCGATAAATGCAGCAGGCTGGGCGATCGAGCCGTTCATCGTGGTTGCGGGCCAAAATCACCTTCAGAATTGGTATCAAGAATGCAACATTCCGGGCGATTGGGCCATCGCCACGACCCAAAATGGCTGGACAGATAACGGAACTGGTCTCGAGTGGCTAAAACACTTTAACCGATGTTCATTAAAGCGAACAATTGGTACCTATCGTCTTCTGATCCTCGATGGCCACGAAAGTCACCATTCCGTCGACTTTGAGCTATATTGCAAGGAGAACAATATTATTACGCTTTGTATGCCGGCTCATGGGTCTCATCTACTTCAGCCTCTTGACGTCGGGTGCTTTGGGCCCCTTAAGAGGGCTTATAGTCGAGAAATAGAGCATATGATGAAAAGCTCTATAACCTATATTTCGAAGACCGAGTTCCTCCCGGCCTTTTATGCCGCCTTTCAAGCCACTATGACGGAGAGCAATATCAAAGGGGGTTTTAGAGGAGCCGGGCTTGTTCCTCTTAACCCAGAAAATGTGATCTCAAAACTTGATGTAAAGCTACGGACTCCAACACCTATTGAGGAGGAGGCTAGCGCATCCACCTCGTGGGTTCCAAAGACCCCAAATACAGTCCGCGAGGTAAAATCTCAATCTGAATACCTCGAAAGGCGAATCAGAGGACATAAAAGTAGCTCCCCAGAGTCAATTATAGAGGCTTCAAAGTCTCTTGCAAAGGCAGCAACCAGAATATATCACAAGGTTACCTTATTATCTGCAGAGAACCGAGAACTTCGACAGGCAAATGAGGCACTAAGCCGACGCCGCAGGGCAAAAAGAACCCGATTACAGAAAGGAGGGGTACTAACAGTAGGGGGAGGTCAGGAACTAATTGATCAGATAGATGTTAATACGCAGGTAGTGGCCGAATCGTCGAGAAGTGGTGGTCAGGGAAGTTCGGCGCGACCGAGGGAAAGGCATTGTGGAATATGCGGCAAGACTGGGCATAATGCAAGAACCTGTCAGGTAGTAACTGAGATATCTAGGGAAGAGAATAATGAGTAGGTTTAATTGATTAGATAGTTTATTATGTTTTTATGATAGTTTATCTTTTGAAGGGTAAGATTTCTGGCCCACTCGCTTGTCTGGCCCACTCGCTTATCATACACGTTAACTACCATGCAGTACCCACCTGCCGGTCATACCCACCTACCGGTCAGCGAAAAAAAGAATTCCCCATACAAAATGTTAAACTTCACTTGCACAGTGCTTGGCCAAAATTGAAGTTATTTACATGGAACAGATTGTGTCTTACTGAGAGTTTCATGCTGTTTCATATTGGCATATTCATTTGTATTTTACACAAGCAGTTTGGTCGCATGACACTAGTGTAAAATTTCTCAAATGTCTCCTTCATCACCCAGCCTCCCCAAAATTTCATCAAACTTTTATCTATAGCAGCTTCCTTTAATCGCCTTGAAAATGCCTCAACAGTCTTATACAGAGAATGATGTCATTGAAGCTATACTGGATGTTACAGATAATGACCTCTCGCAGCACCAGGCCGCCCAGAAGCATGGAATGCCCCAAACCACTCTGTCTGACCGATTAAGAGGCCTACCGTCAAAGTCCGAGGCCACCCAACCTGCCCAGTTGTTATACAAATCCCAAGAGGCTAGATTAGTTACATGGATACTTCGACAAGAGGCATTGGGCTATGCTCCTTCCCACAGTCAAGTTCGCGCCACGGTAGCTGCCCTGTTGAGACAGCAGGGCCGGGAAAGGCCTATCGGTGTACACTGGCTAGCCAGATTTATTAAACGCCATCCAGAGATCGATACGAAGGTAGGAAAACGCCAGGAAGCTTCAAGGTTCAATTCTTTTACCCCAATGGCCGTTAATTGGTACTTTGATATCCGGGAGAGCGAATATGGCTGGATCAAGCCTGAGAACACGGTTAATGTTGACGAGGGCGGTATCATGGCTGGATTTGGTGAGTACTGACCACTTCTGATACAAGACTTACCAATAAATTGCAAATCTAGGTTTGGATTCCTTGGTAATTGGCAGTAGCGATCCCAGGAGGAAGGCCTTCCTCAAAGGCTCGCAGTCCCGCACTTGGACTAGTTTTATCGAAGCCGTCACTGCAGATGGCCGTCTTCTAAAGCCGGGAATTATCTTCAAGGGCAAAGAACTTCAGAAGCAGTGGTTTATTGATGAGTTTAACAAGATCGCCGACTGGTATTATATCACCTCCGATAACGGCTGGACAGACAACCATATCGCGGTCGAGTGGCTCAAAGAGGTTTATCTGCCCCAAACTCAGCCAGCAGATGAGTCAGATGCAAGGCTCATAATATTAGATGGCCATGGGAGCCATGTATCTGTGGGTGTCTACCTGTTCTCGGTCAGAAATACCGCTGACTGAAATTCCAGGATGAGTGGATGGCCACGTGTTTTTTGAACAACGTGTATTGCTGTTACCTGCCTGCACATTGCTCTCATGGCCTACAGCCACTGGATAATGGTGTTTTCAACGCATCCAAGGCTGCATATCGAAAAGAACTCCAAAAACTGGCAAGCCTGACCGATTCTGCGCCCGTGGACAAGGTCAACTTCATCAAGGCTTATGCCAAAGCCAGGGAAGTGGGTATGACGAAGAAAAACATCCTTTCAGGCTGGAGAGTGACTGGAAACTGGCCGATTTCACGACGTAAAGCGCTCATACATCCTGAGATTCAGCCAGACAAGAAGGAAACGACGCCTGGATCAGACGGCCACAGAGACGGGCAAGTCGACTCTGATAATACGCCAAAGACCAGCCGTCACATCAGAGACCTGGGGAAGAACAAGAGCCCCTCTACCAGAAGGCGGTATTCTGTGATATCAAAAGGGTTTGAAGCCCAAGAGTCCAAGATCGCCACTTTGAGCACCAGAATAGCCAGCCTGGAGGAGGAAGTTGGCCGGTTGAGCAGAGGCAAGAAGAGAAAGGCGATACCGAATCCCAATAAGAAATTTATCTCGCTGGCAGAGGCTCTAGCAGCTGGTGACACTATTTCAGAGCCAAACGAAGCAATTGAAGGGGCGGATGTTGTTGAGGATGTGATCGAGGTGGGAGGGATAGAAGAGGATGAGAGGTCAAATTCAGGGAAGGAAGAATTAGGTGTCGTACGCACCCGCACAGGGCGTGAGGTTAAAAGACCCAGAAAATATTAAAATAGATTCAATTTTGATCTAAATTCTAGGGATAAAATTATTTTTACTATTTTTATTAAGTTTTTCCCATGAGGTTAAAAAAGTGCATTTTGTATGGGGGAATCTTTTTTTCGCTGACCGGTAGGTGGGTATGACCGGCAGGTGGGTACTGCATGGTAATCCAGCTCTTCCTGCCCTTTGCACCTTTTCGAGCTAACAAATCCTCCTGGACGAAGCGACGGTTCTTCCAGGTAATCTTGGGCAGATTCTCAATGGTCGGGTTGGGAGGTAAAGCTCCAACGGCTGCTTCTTCCAACTGCTTGGCAACTGTTTTAGGCTGAAACAATCGTGAGAAGACGGAAGAAGGAGGTGTAGGGCAAGGTGTCAATGTTGGCGGAAAGCCAGCGGGCGACGGGGAGAGTGGCGAGTCCGACATCCTACTGGTAAAATGGAATAAAAACCACGTGTAGAAGGGATTATTTTGATGGCGCGACATGGTTGGAACACGCGTTCCACATTGCATACGCGCGGTGGGGTCATGCGTTAGATCACGATAGCAGATACTTAGCTTAGCCGCTAAGCCCCCCGCAATTTGAGAGTAGACTTCCATCTGCGACTATCTAGTGTAGGGTAGTGGCTCGGGAAGATGTGGATTTTCCCTCGAGATTAGACGATCACATGATACATATGTAATATGTCAATTATTTCAACTTTAGAAATGTGTGATTTGATTTGATTGAAAGGAAGAATTCGACGATTTGATTGATTTGATTGGGGTGATTGATTGATTGAGTTGACATATGATGAGCGCTGGCCCAACCCTCCCCCACCCTTCAAGTTGACGCCGCTGACAGCTACAATGCATCGATGACTGGGGTCAGAAAGGGGT